TTTATAATCTGAGTTTCAAACTGAGTATGCATTTTCTGTCTCATGAGGATGAGACTTTGGGGAATGACACATACATGGCATATGCTCATAGTTATGGTAGAAAATAGCTTCATATTAAAAACTTGTTTACTTTTTTGAAATTGAATTTTCTGACAGATAGGACCTATGTTAAATACAATTTTAAATGAGTGCTTCACAATTCACTGTCTTGGAATAAAACCCTACCACAAATCACATATGCATTTTAAAAATTCTTTTGTGATGCTTTCAGTCTGTGCCTTTCAGTAAAATCACAGGCATATTTTTTGGCAACATTGGGAACCAAGTACTATGTTGTGAAAGCATAACAGTAATCTTAGACCTTAACACAATTTTTTAAAGCTTATATGAGCATTCTTAATAAATGTTAGGTGCTTTAAAATATATTTTGCTGCTTAGGCATATTATTTTTCGGTCTTTTGCATGTCTTATTTATATTCCTAATTATTCCCTTATCTGTAAAGTCAATGCTGTGTAGTACAATAAGGAGGACAGATAGTATAAATGTACAGTTAAGAAGTATGTGGGTTTTTTCTCCTATGAATACATACAGTTTCTTCCTGTAAATTCAGATAAGTCTTTCTAGAATTTCTGGAAAATCCTATGTGATATAATGGCAGACGAAAAAGAAAAAAAATGGGTTTTCATTAAGTATATAAGAAAGAATTCTACAAACTTATACAAATGGAGATGCAAATTTCCTTTTTGGTTTTTTTTTTTTTTCTATTAAAAGGGACTACTTCTAAAATAGTTTTGAAGCAAGAACACAACATAGTTCAAGAAAATGTTTCCTGACAGATAGGTCATCTTTTGAAGGGCAGGTTGCGTTTTTAAATCCTGCTTGTCTGTGAGTCTCTGTTTAAAAAAAAATCTGTTCTGAAATCTTACTTTTGTAAGAACTAGATAGTTATTTACTCCCTTGAAGTTGCTAGAGTTTATTCCTATAATGAAAATGATGTGCACATTTTGCATTCATTTATCTAGCACTTTTATCCCATTTCATTTCTGTGGGACTGTAAAAAGCAAGGACAAAATTCTGGGAAAGTCTGATGATCAGCTTGGTTAATCATTTAAAGAGCCTGGTTTTAGTTATATTAGGCTAGATCTACAAAAAGTGCAATTTCATTTCTGAACCGTTGTTAACAAATATCTACCTTGGAAATCTCAGATACTGAGAAGCCTTTCTCAGCTGCTGCTTGAACTTGGAGATACCTAGTCCTTTATGTTCACACTCCTTACATAGCTGAAATTCTGCTTCCTCGTAACCTGAAACATACTGATAATTAATGAAGTACTGTTTTTTTCTGACAGTTTAGGACCACCATTCATCTGACGTGGGATTAAATGAGGGAATCAGCTAGAGCAGATAGGAACACATGTGTTCATGGTGCTTAGGAGAGGACATGGTTGGGCAGCCTGCAGGCTGGGGATCTGCAGGGCAGTAAGATTCCCATTTGTGTACTATCAACCTTTTTGTGGTCTTTTAAATTGTGGTCCTGAGTTCTGATCCTTTGGGGGGGTGGGGCAGGAAGAAAAATTTGTGTGTCCCATCTCCTGGTTGACTGTTTTAATTTTGAGTCACATTGAATAAAAACAGTGTGAGCTGTCTGCTTCATGCTAGCCCTCTATGTGCAAATTTACCTCTTAGTGTGTCAGAGAACCTGGACCATAAGAAGCAACACTTTTTATTTTTTTAGAAGCCAGATTAAATCTTAACCAATAAGGATATGAAAATCCGTAAAGCAACTCACTGTTTCTTCCATCCATGTAAGAGACTAACTTCTGTTTTGACCATGTCTTTAAATTAATTTCTGTACTCCTGGCTCTCACTCCAAGAATTCCTTCCTCCCCTTCATATACCTTACCCCCTTCGGAATCTAGCATTGTCTGATTGAATGAACAGAAAATAAATGAAATGCATTTGAACTTTTGTTGTATCCATTGGGTTATGGAGAATTTTCTCAGGATTTTAAAAGTTAAAATCATGAATTGTTACTCAGTGCAGAAGCTTGTCAAATTTAGGGACACTTTCCAAGAACTTGATTTAAGTTCAGTCTGTTTTCTCCGGATTTTCTTTCATTCTTACAAACATTTTTTCAGCTGTAGTATGAAAAGTGAATTATGTTCTTTGGTTGCGCATAATCTATGAGACAGGTAAACACAATTCCTTTCATCTTAATGATAACATCTTGTACTATTTACATGCTATGTTAGACTATTTTGTCTGGTTATATGAATATACTAGGAATGGCATTATTTATAATAACATGGAAATCTGTTCTGACAACACATACACACAAAATTAATTTCATTACTAAAGTCAATGACTGTTTTTATTTTTTACCTGTTTTAACTGGATCAAGAAGTTTGGGGTTTTTTTCCTGAAGGAACACAGAAATATTACTCTCCAAGCCATTCAAGGTACAGTGTGTTAGCACTGGGTTCAAGGGCACAGACTAGCTGCCGTTTTATTTCTCCCACACATCTTGGAGGCAGTCACCAGACCTATTGGTTCTTTGGAATAATAGCAATGACTTTCTCAAAACTGGTAGCTTTCTGCTGTAGAGAGGATATTCTACTCATATAATATCACTATAAAGTTTACACACAGAATTGTCCAGAACCATAATGGGATCCTTATAATGAAGGACAAAGCACAGCTTGTGTCTTTCAAATGGCTAAATTTTTTGGGAGTATGCTGATATAGCTCAAATTAAAAACTTGTATTTGAGTATTACATAATGCTTATTCTTCATTTTGTAGAAAATACCATGGTATAAATTATCAGTAATCCATATGCAGAAGTCAAAGATTTTCAGTGAAAGCATAAGAAGGCATGCTATAGAATAAAGTAAATAAATATCACTCCAGTGGAAATGCCTAAAAGCACTGAAGAGCTGAGCTGCCCACCTCTATGGGTCAATCTGCATTTTACTGTTGTCAGTTAACCTGGACCAAGAGATCACCGTAGGAAACAACACCTGTTTGTACTTTTGTACGAGCTAGACTAAATTTCAACCATCTATGAAGGAAATAAAATCGGTCTTTGACTGTGGCTAGATGAGGCCATGTTTCTTCTGTGAGAAATAGAAGAGGAGGTATGCCATTAAAAAGAATAGGATATTAATGATACTTAATTCTACATCGTATGTAATGAAAAATGAGTAGTGAAGTTTTGTCTTATGTTTGCCAAAACAGAATTACTTGTACCAGTAAAGCACTTAATCCAAACAAGGCAAAAGTTAATCTACTGATTTGGAAAAGGAATCTAAAATCTAACATAGACCAATGAAGATGATTAAGGTTAAACAGAGCAAAGTTCATTAGTCCTTCCCAAAAGTAATGTTCTGCTGAAGGAAGAAATTGAAGATGTAGTTTGTAAGTTGCATTTGGGACTGGTTTTAAGTAGCTTAAGGTAGTGAACTTACAAAAGGAAGGTTACTTTCTTTCTTGGGTGCTATAAAAATGGTTTCTTCAGCGAGGTTCTTGTACTGCAGATAAAGGTTCACATGGCCCATCAGTCTAAGGGCATCCCTGCTAGGAAGGCTCCGTCTCTTGGGAATATGCTCTGCCTTTCAATTAGGTTAAGTCCAAATTTAAACTACAGAGAACATTGGTAAAAACTCGATTTATTTTAATTTTCTTCTTTTCACTTATTGAAGGTTCAGTCTGATCTTTCTTCCTTTGACTTTTCTTAATTTTGTTACTGTTCATATGCAAGAGTAATTACTCAGCTGGTTAATGAATTATGATGCTTATGTTACAGGAAAATCTTTGTAACTTAAAAATAGAAATCAAATTGCTTGTTAATTCCCTCTAGTGGCAGGTGACGAATATACCAAAATTAAACTTTAGTCATAGATGGAAGCAACACGGTTGCTAAGTTGCTAAACTCCCTGGTACCTGGAGAAGATGGAAAAGTGATGTCAAATGCCTACCTAGTTCAGTTCTTCATAAAAAATTAAAAGACTTGTTTTCTTCCTTGGTCACTAAGGAAAGGAGGCTCTATTGTTCAGACTGAGTTCTTTTTTTCTCTCCTGTCAATTGGGATAGCTCTGAATTGTGTGATTCTAGTATGTGTACTTTGCTATCTTTTTTTAGGTCTTATTTCATTAAGGAGGAGAGCTATATTAGTTTTATTTTGTGAATACTGTCTAGGAAATATATTAGATTTTAATTGCATATGACTGAAAAAAATAATTAGCAGGTGTGTATAAAACAATTCAGAATTAACACTTAAGAATTAATACATAGAATGTATTATTTTAACACTGTTTTACTTGTGACAGAAATAATATACTTGCAGTTCTAAAAGCATGCCACTATATTTCTCTGTAAGGCAGAATGATGAATTAATATTAGGCTATTATTTTTACTCAGTGTTCCCTAATACATTTCATTATCACATTTAAATACTAATACACTTAGTTCATCTCAGTATTTTTTAAATGAGTGTTCCGTATAAGTGTGTTTAGTTGAGAACATTTAGAAATTGTATTGAAAATTATTTCTTAAATCTGTTTTAATCTGCTTTCTTTAGTCTTAATTTGAAGTCATTGCTTTCAATTGATTGATGTTGCTCAGTGTTTTAGTCTTTCTTGCTACTGTTAGTAAGTTCTCCTTATTTCGGGAAATGCTTGATGGCTCTGGTGAAGCTATCAACCCTTCTATTAGATAACAGCCTTCGTTTTCCATTTGTTTAGTTTGGGTTTACCTAGGATAGCTTGTTCAGTAGAAAAATTAAAAGATCTAAAATTTCTATTGATTTGTTTTCTTTCTCTTTTCCTCAGACATCTTTATTTCTACTTTTTCTCTATTCTGCCATGTTTCATTTAGCAGACAGTACTTTGAAAAGCAATTCTTGACCTTGTTGTCATTTCACAGCAAGTTTTTCTTCTTGTGATAAACATGATAAAGCTGATCTTTGCCTGACTGAATGATTCTTAATGTTGTCTTTGCAGGATGTGGTACTGCAACAGGAGGCGCTGAAGATGAAGGTGAGGCTGAAGCTGGCTGGATTGAAGGTGCTGCCATCCTACTCTCTGTCATCTGTGTTGTACTTGTCACTGCCTTCAATGACTGGAGCAAGGAGAAGCAGTTTCGTGGTCTTCAAAGTCGCATTGAGCAAGAACAGAAATTTACTGTTGTCCGAGGTGGACAAGTTATCCAAATCCCAGTGGCAGAGATAGTAGTTGGTGACATTGCACAGGTGAAATATGGTAAGTTCCATCAAATAGATGTCTACTTTTCTGCGCTTTATTTATTCTCCTTTCCCTTTCTAGCAGAATAGATTCACTTCACTGGAAGTGATTTAAAAGACAGAGAATTATGTGGTGTCATTATTGTCCATAACAATTTCGCTGTTAGGGCAAAACGAAAACCTAAGATACTTGCTATAAATTGCACTAGGTAATTAATTTTATTTTTGTAATCTTCACTTCCTTTCATTGACAAGGACAAGAACTGTTTGTTCTCTTTCATGGAGGATTACACTATTTGGAATTTTTGGTTTCTGTCCAGTTAGGAATAAGAGGAAGTATTTTTAAATTATCTGTGAAAGGGAATTGTACCTCTGTGCTCATCCCACTTGGTAGGCTGCTCCAGAGCTATGGATCCTGCAAGTCCCTCCAGATCGGATGCTTCTAGTAGGTGGATGCCTTATAATTCTATGCCATAGGCAAAACCCTATGCTCCAGTGAACAGGAAGACTTTTGCAGGAGCTCTGTGTACTCTGTGTTTGACTGAGCTGGCAAATTCCAGCAAAATGTGTGTTCTATCAACCATCAAGTTTCTGCTGGACTTAGCTAAGGGCTTCCTGAGAGGGGAAGGGGAAAGAGCAGCTTGACTGTTTATTAGCCACTGTTAATTTCTGTGAAGTCTGATAGAGATACCTTCATGTCACATTAAGAACAGTACTCCCCCTGCCAAATCTCAGTGATTATTATGTTCATCGTATGTTAAATGTGATGCATTCTGATTCTGGGATAGTACTAGACAAAAAATATTTGCAGTACAAAGGCCCTTCCCTATAGGATTGCGATAATGTGGCTAATATGGACTGCTATGGTAGTACTTTCACTTTTGCTTTCATTTTACATTTTAATGCAGTTGTTGTTAATTGTGATTTTATAATAAAAATCATTATGTAATTATAAAAACAGTCTTACTAAACCACTGTGGTTTTCCATGTTCTTACTGAAAGGTGATCTTCTACCTGCCGATGGGATATTTATTCAAGGAAATGATCTTAAAATTGATGAAAGCTCTTTAACTGGAGAGTCAGACCAAGTCCGCAAATCTGTTGACAAAGACCCAATGCTACTGTCAGGTAAATCTGCCTG